TTCAAAACCCCATGTGATGATGAGTGACATTGTAGGAGCCAACCCTAAGTGTTGCATTAGAAGTAACCCAACTAGACAAATTCATGAGCATGGCATGTCATTTGTTATCATGTTCATTTAAATACTGACAAATGAAACATAGCATACATTGTCAACTCAAAGGGTGATTTGGATTTTCAATTGTTTTATGTAATGTCTAACAACACCTTTAAAGAAATAAACCATAAAGTAGTTATTACTCAAACCAAAGAATAAATGTATAAAGAGAAAACTATTTCCATTTTTGTATAACAAAACTACACTTATTTTTGTTATACAAAATAGCTAAATAAATTCCTAATATATATATGAAAGAATGTTGTGGACCTCATATCTAAAACTACAATGACTATGGTACACCAATTTTGAATTCAAATTTCAAACCAAATTGGAATTCAAACAAAGGAGAAGAAAAATAAAACAGAAAAAGAAAAAAGAGAGATGAAGAGAGAAGGCCTCGCAGTCAGCAGCTTGGCCCAAGCTAGCCAGCCCAGCTGGCCTGCCAACCCCTTCCCGTTTTCCCAGCGCACGCACGTGGCCCACGAGCCGGCCCAGCACGCCGCTCACGCCCACGCGCCCGTCCGCTTCGCCTGCTGTCGCTGCCTGTCGGGCCCCACCTGTCAGCTTTCCTATTCATCTTCCTCACGCCCACGCCTCAACCGCCCGCGTGACCGAGGGCCAACAGCGATGGCAGGAGCGGGCCAGGGGGTCACGCTCGGGGCATGGCCTTGTTCCCCCTTGCGCCGCGCTCACGCAACCTCATGCCACCGTTGGATGCGATGCACGCGCCTCCGATCACCCCTCGATCTCCATCCGCCGTTCACCGAGCTCCATGGCAGAGCTCGCCTATAAAAGCCTCGGCCCTAGGAGCCCCTAAGCTCTCTCAACGCCCCTCCGCCACTTTGTGGCCGTCCACTACGCACCTGAGCCAAGAGAGCAGAGGGAGAAGAGGAAGAAGAAGGGGGAGTACCAAAGCCGCATGACGTCGCCAGTGTCGCCGGAGCGGAGGATGTCGCCCCGATCAAGCACGTCGACGCTGCTGCTCGGCATGGCACAGCATCGACTCAACACGGCCACAACCCTCCACTACACCGCCATCTGATCACCTTCGACACCAACGGTGAGCCCCCGAGTCCTTCCCTGCTTGCCGCCTGACCATGCTGCTTTGGCCATGGCGCTCTACACCGGGAGCGCATAGGCCAAGGCCGTCTCTGGCCTCTGGGTACATACGCACTCACGCACACATCCACGACCACACCGAGACCGCCCCACCGGTGCCCCGTAGCGCTCCAGCGTGCCTCACCGTCGCCACCATGCCGCCGTGGACGCCGTGGAGCCCCTACCGGCCACATGAGGACCCGAAGCCCGCCTTGAGCCTTGGACGCCCTCGTCGTGCTCCCACGGACCCGTAGAAGCCCATATCCGCCCAGCCGAGCCACCAGGGAGCCTACATGAGCGACCTCACCACCGCCGAGCACCGCCGAGCCGCCGACCGCCGTGGCCAAAGCTACTGGGGGCTCTAGAAGACCTTTCGACCTACTCGACAAGCCCGCTGGAGCATCATGATGCTCACACGCACCACCGAGTCACCTCTTCGAGGCCATAGCCACCTCACCGCCACCGCCATCGTGCCCGTAAGACCGCCGCCGTGGCCGGCACTCTACGGGACCCCGCACGCCATGTTAACCCCACCAACGAGGACGCCGAGGCTCAGCGGAGCTTTCACCCACTTCAATCGCGCACCAGCGCCGCTGGTAAGGCTCATCGGGCGCTCGCCGCCGGTGGGAGCACGCCGGGAGAGGAAACAGGGGAAATTCCCCTTGCCGGCCACACGCACATGCACCTGGTGCACGTGGACCACAGAGACAGAAGAGAAGGGTGGACGCGGTCCACCGTAGACCTACCTATGGTCCATGGACCAGCGCTCCTGATTCCACCATGGACCATGAGCCGTAGACCACAGCCCAGTGGAGGCCCAAGGTTGTGACGTGGCTGCGTCACAGCATGCCACATGGTGGGCCAAGCCCGCCCCAAATCCAGCCCTATTCCGGCCCAACCGGCCCAGTTCGGACCCGGTCCGTGTTGACCATTGACCGGTCAACGTTGACTGTTGACCTGACCCCACATGTCAGCGACACAGAGGCTTGGGACCCACATGTCAGTACATGACGTCATGCTGACGTCATGATAACGTCACGTGGGTCCCACCTATCAGTAGCAACACAGCCGAGGTGACATCATGCTGACGTCACGGTGATGTCAGCTGCTGACGTCAGTAGCCCTAGCCCCACATGTCAGTGACCCTAACCCATTGACCGTTGACTTGACGTTGACTTTGGCCGGACCCACATGTCTGTGACCCAAGAGCCTCTGGCCCCACCTGTCGGAATGGATGACGTTGATGACGTCATGCTGACGTCAGCTGGACCCCACCTGTTAGCTCGAAACCGAGATGCTGACGTCAGCATGCCACGTGGACCAGTCACAGCGTGACACGTGTCAGCCCAGGATTAATTCAGCCTTTTCTATTTTCAGAAATGATTTAAACTTCAGAAATTCATAACTAATTCATATGACCTCAGAAAAATACGAAACCTGGACCAAAATTCATCTAAAATCAAGCTCTACGCAATGAACCCATGTTTGAGTGCATTTGACTCTTTTGAATTTTCATTGCTTCTTTGTGCTATTTTATAGACGTCGCTAACACGACTATTATGCGATCGTTTGCAGACTCGGAGGAGAACCGGATGGACGAGGATCGTGAGTACCGTGAGGAGTACGGAGACGACTACACTGAAGGTGCCACATCCCACCCAATCTCGTAGCACCTATTACGCATGGCTAAAATAGAAATGCTAGTGCTTTACTTTATTGTTATGATCACACTATGATAGGACTTGCATGGTAGTATGCTTTCTTGATGGCCTTTACCTTGACGCAACCTTACCCCTACTCACCCTGCTGTTAGGCTAGTCACACGCTCTCTACTATATTTCGTTGCTTATTACTTCTACTACGCTTGCACTACATTGATGCGTGGTGGAAACTGGTGTTATCTGGACTATGGGGAGAGTGCTGCGTGTGTGACTTGGGTGCATGGAGGGTGAGGGTTGTGTCGACCAAGTTGGAGTATACGACGAGCCTAGGGCAAGTCTTGCCATGGGGTGCTACCTGGGCACCCCTAGAATGGATACCTGTGGTGGGTAAACGGTATATGAGGTGGCCCTGGGTGTGAACCTATGATGGGAGGAGCCCAGGGTGGAGGTGCTGTGGTGGCACGATAAATGGAAACCTTGATGAAGACATTCTGGCTTGGTCATCCCTAAGGACTTACTAGTACTCAGATTCACCGGGAAGCCTTACGTACCACTCATCCTATATGGTGCGGGACGGCCGGACTACTTGGTAGGATATTGCCACTACTTCTAGGTTGATAGCGGACAGTGCGAGGGAGGTACGGGGTATGGAGGAATTCCCCCACACCCTTCCGAGACTTCATGGAGACCTTGTGGACCCGGCTCATGACTCACAGTTTCAGCCACCCCAGAGTAGACTTAGGGTGTACCAGGGCTGAATGGTAGAGTGGCATTATCCTAGGCTAGCAAGCGGCCGGAATCAGCCCAGTTGATGATGGTCAGCAAGGAAGGTGGATCTTGTGGTTATGTAAAACCTCTGCAGAGTGTATGGTTGATCGATCGATACATATGCCGACTTATCGACTTGGACCTTTCCTGGGTTTCGCTTAAACTAGATAGTGAGATGAGTCCTTCTCTTCTCCCCCTGGGAGTGAGTGTTCGGACGTAGCCAGGGGCTACGGGCTTTGAGACAGTGCCGAGCGGGAGTTGGCCTGTCGACTGAGCGATGGTATGGTGGTGTGGTGATGGTGTGGAGATGGTGGTAAATCGATCCCAGGATCGAAATCTGGCTCTGGACGGAAATGGGGTGGAATGGGTGTGGGAATGGTGTTAAAACTTGACCAACTATTATTATGTACTTGATATGCTAATACATAGGAAACCCCAGCCTTATAGGTTCCTTTTGATCATATCCAACTTGCATCCAATTTCCACAAAGCAATGCTCATAGGGTGGGAGTGGCCAGTACAAATCGTACTGATAAATTTTGGCACACAGGTTCTGCTGAGGAGTATAGCTCCGAGGAGTTTGACGGTTGAGGGGTCCGTTCCTATGCTCAAGTTGGCGATCTTATCTTCAAGCTGTTCTGAATGAATGCTACTTTTGATTCCGCCAATGCGGCGATGTTATAAATTATGTAATTCCGCACTATTTGTACTCTGATATTATCGTTGTATGGATGTGATATTCGACTGGAATTTGGGTAATATGATCTACAACGGTCTTGTTACACTTTGACTCTGTGGATTTCCCTTCGCGGAAATCAGGTCGCTTCAGAAAGAGAGTTGTGCCCTACCGTTTATGTGGAAACCGTAGGGAAACAGTCTTTCCCTAGGAAATTGCATCCCTAGGTAAAGTACCTAAGATGGCCCTGATAAATCTTACGTGGAAAGGTGATTACCCTACAGAAAACTTTCCCTAGGAATTTGAACCGTAGGGAAACCAGCTGACCCAAGCACAACATTCAAATTCAAATCATGAATACATAATTCATATTTGAATTCAAATATTATTATGAAATTATTTATAATCTAGATTCACACACATGAATAGGAACTTAAGAACTGATTTAATTAAAGGCCAAATCCATGGAACCGAACATTTAGAGTTATATCATCATAAGACAATTATAGGTCTGTTAATATAAAGCCTAGTAGACATGCCTACTTAGCTTCTAAAAGATATCTCTTCCATCAGGTGCTGACCTAACTATTACTTAAACAAAATAAGCAACAACAGTTGCCTACTTAGCTTGCAAAAGTCTATCTCCTCCAGGTGTTAGACCTAACTATTACTTAGCTGCAGCACATAGTTCGATGACAATCAAAAGAACGGAAATGCTTCGTCCGGAGGAGAATATGTGCCTCCACCACTTGCTGTTCCATCCACTCCATTTGGAGTTCCATCTGCATGGCTATGGAATTCTACACGAGCAATCCTACTTATAGTTTCATCTGGAGTTTCGGTTCTAACACTTGAGCCAAAGGTACCGACCTGTGATAGTAAAGCAATCAAAATTTTAGAAAAACAACTTGTTGTGTTATAAATTGTAGGTTCAGTTTTCAAATGTATTGAACAGTAAAGAATGCATTGATGTATCCATGTGCATAAAAATTGTTTTATAGACATAGCAGTAGCTGCATTTTTTTCGCTGCTACTGCCGTGTATCTACCTCCTCCAACTCTATCCACAGTGACATGCTCAGCTTGCTTAGTAGATGCATATGCATTTCTACATGAAGTAGGACATACAGCATATAGATGCAAAACACAACAAACTGTGACGGCCATAGATACTAAAATTCCAGCATTCCATCAATCTAGCATAAACATCCATAGCTTTCTAAAGATTGCTGCAACTAATATATATTTGTTATGGTACTTTCACAGCTAACATATAATTGTTATGATACTGTACAAGTTAGCTCTGTGTGAGCATGATACTTGAGATATTCCAAGGCACTGTTCAACTAAAACTCAATTAATGTCAAAATACCTCATAATTTAAAGCTAAAAGTTTTGCAGACTTACATTTTCAGGAGACAGATTTGGAGTAGGCGAAATAGCATATGTTGGAGGCTGAGGTGGGGGAGGCATGAGAGGAGGAACAGCTGCGAGAGGCATACCAGTTTGGAGAGCAACCGACTGCAGTTTAATAATAGAAAGCAGCTAAATTAAAAGCAACTAAATTGACACTAAAGTGAACACATAGGGCTGTATGACAGATCTCACCTCCATAAACTTTTGCATGTTTTCATTATGAGTATGTGCCATTCTTGCCCAATTCAACATATTTTGGGCATATTCCTTAGCCAAACGACCATCACTTGCTTCTTTCCTCATACGGTCCTCCTCCTCTTGACGTTGATGCCTAGCAGCCATGATCGAGGCACGACCTCTTTTCAAATCAGCAAGGACTTCTCTATCATTGATGGTCCCATTAAAAGTGGCCCATTTGCCATGTGGCCTACCACAAGTGCATTCATAGAGAGCTCTAGGATCCACCGAAGAGTGCAACCAATCAAAATCCGGTCCATTTAACTCAATGGCCTTAGCTTTGTATTTTTCCTGTCCAATGTGTGTATATGTATATGATTGTGTGAACATTTGCAAAATAAGTAAAATGAAAATTCTACAAAATTGGAAAATCAGCATCTAGCAATTACCAAGCATGAAGTCGCTTCTTCTGTGTTTAGTGAAGTAATATCTTCATGATTTGAGCCTCTATGAGTATGTACCCATGCCTCAATATCAGATATTTCTCTTCCGAGTTCCTTGGACTACATTTGAATGTATATGAAATTAGTTGTCTATTTCCTACAAAAGAGTATCTCATAGAAAATCAGCAAGGTGAACACTAACCATCTTCTGTCGTATTGTTGTGATAGAGTTGGATCCTCCTTTGTGAGGTTTAAATTTACGACTGAGACGATTTGCACGATTTTTCTCTGACTTCTTCTTGAATTCAGGACTGCTCCATTTCGTGGCCAAAACTTCCCAGCATTCTAGTATGCACTAAGGAGGACGTTGTGCAATGTACTCGTCCCTCGTCAAATAGAATTGCCCAGCAATTTTGTCACAGATTGTTCTTTTCTCTACTTTTCGAAAATGCTCTACTGTAGCTGTAATTCTTGCATAATACATGATGCTCCCCAGGAGTACAGAGCTGCAGACACCAACATGTTCTCTTGAAGCCTCTTCTTTGACTGGATCGAATCTAAACCTTTTCTACATAGAACAAGCAAAAACATAAGAGAGCTCTAGGACCCCAACTTAATAACTGTTATGAGCTAGTTCTGTTAAAATCAGACTTTGCATGAACCTAATAGCACAAGTGCATGAATGTGTAGCAGGAAAGTAGCTGGTACCCAAGATAGAAGTAGAGAATTACCCAAAACCCTTCAGCAACTAAATCAGCTTTAGATTTTCCAGAGTCGTCCTTGGCTGCTTAATAATGTTTCCATGTGGATGCCACCATGGTCTTGCCTTTGTACTGAACCAAACCAAGATGCTGCTTCTTCAGTAAACATGTTAACACACTTGAAGGAGTCCTTCCTTCTACCACAGTCCAGTGCCTCCAAAAATAATCAAACAAATCAATTAGCGATATCAAATGAGTGTTGAGTTGCATAAATATGACAATGCAAGATTACAAACTCATGAGTTTCCTTCCGGCTCAATCAATGGATGATCTTGCTCATTGGGAATAGTGGGGGGAAGATCTGCACATCCTCGTAAATAGCCAATTCCAGTTCCAGTTTGCTGATCTTCTGCATTAGAATCAGCAGGACCATTCAGACTCAAAATCGTGGCCTCCCTAGAAGCATTGGAAGATTGACTGCGTAACACTCTATGTGTGAGTGTCATCCCTGAAAATATGATGTAGCAACCATGAGTAAGTGTACTGGAAAACAATTGAAATAATGCAAGTATGAAAATGGTTGGAACAAAATAAATGTATTACTTCTCCCATCAAAAGTCATCAGGATCTTGGAATTCCACTTGTGTGGCATCAAGAAAATATTATGTATTATACCCCTCATGTTCTTCAACTGGTGGCTCATTGTCTACTGTCACACCATTTCGTTGTTTGATCAGCATGGAAATTTCATTTGGATCATTGATCTCATCAAAGCCATCACTAATCGTGATATCATCTAAGCTAAGTCCAATGTCTACGACGAATTGTGAGTAGTGCCATAACCATCAAAAGATTTATCTTTCACTTCATTCATGTATTCTTGCACCTCTACCCCAGTTAATCGATGTGGAGGTATGTCATGAACCGCTACACCCTTTCTAAATGCATTCTTCTGGTCCCTAAATTCATGGTTAGCTGGTAGAAATCTTCTATGGCAATCAAACCAACTATACTTGCGCCCATTTGGTAGCCAAGTGCTATCCACATCTGCCATGCAATCGATACATGCCAACCCACCACGTGTAGACCATCCAGAGAACATGCCCAACCCAGGATAGTCATGAATGGAATTATGATATGAAACCTTCATTGTAAATTTTCTCTTCGAAAAACTATCATAGGTTTCTACTCCTGCCCAAGCTTTCTTCATCTCATCTACTAGTGGTCGCATGAACACATTCAAATTTTTACCGAGATGCTCTGGTCCAGGAATCACTAGACTAAGAAATATGTTTTCCTCCTTCATGCAAAGAGCTGGTGGCAAGTTCAAAGGAATCACGAAAACTGGCCAACAAGAATATTTAGATTTTCCAAATCCAAATGGATTGAAGCCATCTATTGCCATAGCAATACGAACATTCCTAGCCTCCGCTACAAACTCTGGGCAAACTGTATTGAAATGTGTCCAAGCCTCAGCATTAGATGGGTGGACCATAACATTTGGGTTGTCACGCCTACCCTCCTTGTGCCACCGCATGTGCTTTCCGGTTTTGGGCTCCATGTACAGCCACTGCAACCTTTGTATGAATGGAAGATAACGTAGAACCTTACGTGGTATTGGCTTTCGCTTACACCCCATTGATGGCTCAACAACTACATATCGGCTTTCCCCACAGAAATCACATTTTTCCTTATTTATATCTTCTCCGTAGTATATCATACAATTGTTTTCACAAGCATCTATCTTAACATATGGCATTTTCAGACCTTTGAGAAGAGTTGTGCACTCATAAAATGTTTTGGCATTTTATGGTTCTCAGCCAGGATATCATCAAATAGATTCAATATTTTATTAATGCATTCTACACCAAGGTTATGTTGTGATTTAACTGCCATTAACCGAGCAACTACGGTTAGCTGTGCAACACTAGTGTAGTTATGTACGGGCTCTTGTGAAGCTTCCAACATGGCATAAAATGCCTTTGCATCAGCTGGGGGTTCATCTTCAGCACTAACAGTATGCATTGCATCGCCAATATCAGCTAACATTTCATCTAAACCATCAACAGTATCATTGGCATTCTCCAATGTGGGCTCACTAAAAGGTTTCTCTCCATGTTTAGTCCAAATAGTTTACCCAGGTGTAAAACCTCTTTTACACAAATGCAAGCTCATGATAGGTCTCCTTCGTCTAACTCTATTGTCGCAATATGAACATGGGCAAAGTACTCCAAATTTTTTAGAATCAAGAACAAGACTGAAAGCATGGTCTAGAAAAGCATTTGTCTTCTGCACCCACTCCTGTGAATGACAACCATTGTCATTCCACACTTCGTACATCCAACTACGGTCTTCTATTGACATGGCTAGTTATTGTAGCAATAATAAACCCCTGTTCAATATCTAAAACCCTGAGCAAACCCATAGATAACAATTTGTGCTACTAAAAAATTAATAATTTAGTACAAATGTATGGAAGAGATGTGAAAAGATAAATCTGCTTCTCACCTTCAAGCTTCTCTTGCACAGCAGCACAGATGTAGATCCCTGCCTTCTTTATCGCATTTGAGTCTTCCTTACAAAGCCAAGATCTTCTCCTCCTACTTCAAACTGAAGTTTGCATAATGGAAAGAGAGAATTCCTTATTTGACACTGGGAAAATGAGTCGTTCCTTTCTTGGCCCTGAAATTTTCTTCGTTCCCTATTTGACACTCACTTCAACTTTCATCCCTAATTCGACACTACCGTCAAATCCGTTAGCTAACGGTGTTAACCGGCTGTTAAAAAGACGTTTTTGCCCCTAGAAAAAAAGCGGCGAAGCAAATTTGAGAGGAAAAAAAACCTACGCCTTTTTTTGCAGCTGGGCGCATGCATCAGAGGCGGGCGCAGGTTTTTTTTTCCTCTCAAATTTGCTTCGCCGCTTTTTTTTCTAGGGGCAAAAACGTCTTTTTAACAGCCAGTTAACACCGTTAGCTAATGGATTTGACGGTAGTGTCAAATTAGGGATGAAAGTTGAAGTGAGTGTCAAATAGGGAACGAAGAAAATTTCAGGGCCAAGAAAGGAATGACTCATTTTTCCAGTGTCAAATAAGAAATTCTCTCTAATGGAAAGGCAAAGTATATTAGTTCCAGATCTGAATGACTAATATTCAGAGCGGATAATGGTCTAAATTAGCATGTAGAGCCTATGAGCAGACAACTAGTAGTGCAGTAATATTTTGTATCACAAACAAGAAATCAAGCGCACAGTTATTGAATCTGAATAAATGTGAAATGGTATATTTCTCTAGTCCATCAAGCGGAATTATTAGTTTGCACCATAACTTACATATTTCCTAGTTAAAATTCAGTAGCTTATAACTCACTAGCCAGTCTACCTGAATTTCTATTTTTTTTGGAAATGACCAAAGATTAGTTCAGGACCAAACAAATTTAGCAATTACAATAATCTCTGCACCACTCAAGTCAATTAAATAGTTCCTGATTGTTTTCAGGAAGTATACGAAATGAAAAACACAACATAAAAGGCTGCAGGTGCATCACACATGAGCAATATATACATCTTAATTGTTGGTTAAATCCATGTAGTAGATTTGTATCTCACTTTGAGCCATTATTCAGTAGCACAAAAGAAATAGGAAGCACATCTCCTTGTCAGTAACACGGCAGCACGCATCAGGGGTATTGCCAATTCCTACCTTCTTGCCAACACAACGACGGGCCACTGGCACCTCTGCAAGACAACGGCAGACCACCAGCACCTCCGCAGGGCAACGGCAGGCCACCAGCACCTCTGCAGGTTCTCCTTGCCTCCACTGCAGGTCCTTCTTTCATCCAAATCAGCACCTCCCTCGCCTCCTGTAGCACCCTAGAAGGTTCTCCTCGCCTCCTCCGCAGGTCCTTCTTGCCACCTCGACGGCCCACTTGGGTCATGAAATTGGGATGGGGGCAAAGGAATAGGTAGGGCTGGGTGGTTCTTGGCTTGGGGTGCTTGAAGATCCAGCGAGGGTAGTGGATTTGGGAGGCACCCCATTGGATGGGTTGGGGCAGCGGTAGGAAGCTTTGGTGGTGGCGCACTAGATTGGGGCAGCGGGAGAGCTTTGGGGCAGCAATGGGAGAAGATTTGGTGCGCGAGAGAGAAGATTGGTGGCGGTGGCGGCAGCAGCGGGAGAAGGGCAGCGTCTGGAGAAAGATTGGCGCGAGACGGTGGCGGTATGCTGCGGGGAGGGGAAAATTTTGGTGCCGTCATGTTAGCGCCATGTTGGGTCAATGTCCTTAGGAATTGTGTCCATGTCGTAGGGAAAGGTGCCAGCATGGCAAGGGAGACGCCTCTTCCTCAGAATTAGCCCCGACCAAAACGTGCAATCCTAGGGAAAGCCAAGTTTCTCTACGGTTTTGTCACCCAACTCCAAGGAAACATATCTTTCCCTAGGACGATCAAAACACCGTAGGGAACTTTAAAAACTGTAGGGAAACTCGTCGATTCTAGTAGTGATCATCCCTATTTTTCACCAACGGTTCGTAATACGAACTAGTGGTGAAAGTGGCAGCGGTGATTATCAGTTCTGTAGTAGTGCGCTGTCTCCTCCCCCTACCTATATTGAGATGGATACAATAGCAGGTACATCCACAGGACGAGAATACTAACTGAAATTAATTGTTTGTTTGTTTGCTTTAAGATAGGCACAGTTTTCATACAAAGTTCTAGGAGAGAAAAAAATTACTATATCTATATACCTACTATTACAGAGCCAAAATTTTATTTTTATTTTTTTGTCCAACTCCTCCTAACCAAGGTTTTCATTTTCGGAAATTAAAATTTATCGGAGGTCACGGATAAAGAGGATAAACATGATATATGGGAAATATCGGACCAAATTCAAATAAAATTTAATTTGAATTTAAGTAAATTTGAATAAATTTAAACAAAATTTATACGAAAAAGATAGATATTTTCTTATCGGCACCTACAGATAAAGAGGATATATCGGAAATATCAGGAAATTTCGGCCGATATTGGAAACCATGCTCCTAACTACCCAGACAAGACAGCAAATAGTTTCTTCCGTCCCGCTTTATTAATTCTCAAACTACGCTTACGCCCTTTGTGTCTCATATATGATGTAGACATATGACCCGTGCTTGTACGAGTTAGAACAGTTTGCATCTAGCGATGATTGCTACAGAGTCTATTTTAAGACGACTTGCATCACCATCTAGTCTAGCTGTAATCGATATGGAGTTCGACTCCAAGACGTATTGGGTCGCGCCAGACTCATAACCTGTACTTAAAAGAGTTAGAACAACTCGCATCAAGCGAAGACATGGAGTCCGATTCGTATACGTATTGGGTTGCGTTACAACATCCGGGCACGTTTTCTTGTTTTTTTTAAAAAAAAAAGTAGCAGTTGACTAATGCCTAGTGCTTGGCTCATTGATAGTCATCCTCGAATTGCGTCCGTTCCAAATTATAAGTCGCATTGACTTTTTTTGTTACATAAAACTTGCTATGTATCTAGACATATGCTATATTTAGATGCATAATAAAATAGATGTATCAAAAAAGTCAAAGCGACTTATAATTTGGGACAGAGGGAGTATATACTCTAACTGGAAACAATATAAATCAATTTGAACATATGTGCCGATTCTACCATAATACCTTGCACAAGGAACTTAGTGTTGCTTCCTCTTTGTGAGAAATATAAAACCATCAGAACATAATTTTCTTCCAAATAGTCGAGGTACCCCATCCAGAGTTGGGCTATTTTCCTTGCGACTGAGGGTCCTAGTTGTTGTTTTGTTTCGTCGAGCCGAGAGAGACCGCATGCCACAGCGTTCATCCTGAGCCAGGACGATTGGTATTTGTTTCTTAAAATAAAATAATTATCAATGTTAAATAAAAAAATGTTGTTCCACTATAGATATATAATTAAAATAATTTAGTTTACATGCTTTTTATAACGGCACACCGATCGGTTGGTTATTTATTTTTGAAAACTTAATAATCCATTCATTGTTTGACTACCAAATTAAAGATGTCATATTTCTAATTTTTGTAAAAAAATATCTTTTTCCAAGTATGTTTTATGAGAATTAATATAGCCAGAGATAGCGGAGGCTATAGCCGGAGATTTAAAACGTTGCTAAAAATATAGGCGTTTGTAGAGCTTGGCTCGGAACAACAAACTTCTCTACAAATACATTTCTAGAGACAACTTGGGTTGGAGTCCACTACAGAGACGGTAGTAATTTGACCCGCCTCTAAAAAATAACCTCCATTGCTGAAAATCAAATTTGTAGTAGTGCCAAGTCATGAAACTTGGAGGAGAATTTGAAGAGTCAGTACTCCCAAAGCAGCCAGGGCGATGTTACAGTTCATCTCATGTGCTTAGGCTGTGTTTAGTTGGGTGAAATTTGGGAATTTGGCTACTGTAGCACTTTCGTTTTTATTTGGCAATTAGTATTCAATCATGGACTAATTAGGCTCAAAACGTTCGTCTCGCGATTTCCAACCACTACTAGAGAACAGACTTTAGAACGATGTCCCAATTTGGCATTAGCCTCGGCATTTTTTGCCGCCGGGACTAAAGGTCCCTTTAGTCCCGGTTCGTAATACCAACCGGGACTAAAGGTCCCTGCCCAACGGTCGTCCGAGTGGCAGGGATCTTTAGTCCCGGTTGGTAAACCTTTAGGTAAACCTTTAGTGTAAACCTTTAGTCCCGGTTGGTAATATCAGCCGGGACTAAAGGTTTTAGTCCCGGTTTGGGTGATATCCCGGGAATAAATATTAATCTTTAGTCCCGGTTTGGCCACCTAACCTGTACTAATTATGCGGGCCTATACAACGGCTCATTTCTTCCTCCCCGAGCCCGAGCCATTCCATTCAAACTCACTGCCTCTATTCTTCAGCTTGCTGTTGTTCTTGCTCTCTCCCCCTCCATTGGTGTTGCTCTTTGATTTTGGAGGTAACAAACTTAATCCTCTTATGTTTTATCAGTAGCTTATCTCATTTTGCGATGTAGATGCATGTGTAACTTTATATGTTGGACTTTATTATGATTTTATATGTCATTTTTAGCTCAAAATCACATGATGATTTGCATATATGTTTGGATAAACAAAAGTTAAATTAGTTCATCAAAATCACGCCTTGCTCGTCCTCGCTGGAGCACGCGCCATCCTCGTCCCCGGCGGCTTATGTGATCTTAGAATTAATTTTTCCATGAAATGAAAAACTTAGAAAATAGTTAGAAAATTGTAGAAAATCCGTACTAGTTGAACTTGCGGACCGTGATCATCTCGGCGAGCATTTTCTCTCGCTGTTGTAACGGACGTCCGGGAGGAGCTTTGATTCTATGAGGGAGAGCGGCAGCGGTCGTGTGGAAGACCGTGTTCCTTCCTCGTAGAATCGGAGCTCTTCCTTGGCGAAATGCGGTGCCGTCCGGTGGAGAAATGCTCGCCGAGATGATCACGTAAGCAAGGTCAACTAGTATGATGGTTATTTATTGAAACATGTTTTTGAGCTATGTGATTTCTATGTTATTTTTAGCTCAAAATCACATGATGATTTGCATATATGTTTGGATAAACAAAAGTTAAATTAGTTCATCAAAATCACGCCTCACTCGTCCTCCTCGCCGGAGCACGCGCCATCCTCGTCCCCAGCTGACTTTACGTGATCTTAGAATTAATTTTTCCATGAAATGAAAAACTTAGAAAATAGTTAGAAAATTGTAGAAAATCCATTACTAGTTGAACTTGCGGACCATGATCATCTCGGCGAGCATTTTTCTCTACCGAAAGCGGTATGGACGCGTCAAGGAGGAGCTTTGATTCTCTGAGGGAGAGCGGCAGCGGTCGTGGAAGACCGTGTTCCCTTCCTTGTAGAATCGGAGCTCTTCCTTGGCCAAGCACGTGCCGTCCATTTGGAGAAATGCTCACGGGATGATCACGTAAGCAAGGTCAACTAGTACGATGGTTTTTATTGAAACATGTTTTTGAGCTATGTGATTTCTATGTCATTTTTAGCTCAAAATCACATGATGATTTACAATAGTAAAATCACTTGATAGTTTGGTATTTTACTATTATACATAGTACATATTTCATGGTTTAGTTAGATAAATAAATAATTTTAGTTTTGTTTAAATATATTATTTTAGAAAATGTGAAATTTACAGTAGTTTGCAAAAATAAATATAGAAAGTAGATGACAACTGGTACCGGATCCTCTCATTATCTGCGGCAAGTGTAAGCAGAAGATTGTGATGGAGTACCGAGTCAAGAGACAGGGACCCAACAAGGGTCGTGTTTTCTACAAGTGCCCAGATCGCGATGTGAGTTTCTTACGCATTTGATTATTATGGCTAATTGACCTGCTTTTCTTGAATATTTTTGACTAAATATTTTTTGGCTTTAATTTCAGTGGGAGGGCAATGGATGCGATGGTTGGTACTGGGAGGAAGATTATGCTACATACGTGTAGAATTCAGCTGCTGCTGATGAGGCAGTGAGCCAGCAGGAGAAGCTTATTGATATTCAACAGAAGAATGATTTGTCTGTTTTAGTTGTGTATGATCATGAAATAATTATGTTACTGAAGTGCATTGTAGTTTTAGTTTGTTTAGTGATAGTTGGGATTGCTTACGTTGTAGCCAGGCTTAGTTAATTAATCAACCGTGTGTGTGTCATCTATGTTGTGTAATAAAATACTTAATTATGTTCAAGGTTTTCATAATTTGTCGTGTAATACAGATTATGTCACGCCATTGGATGTACAATGCCGATCGCCGCTCCCAAGACTTTATTAAGGGCTTGCACTATTTCTTAGGTGTGGCCGAGGCAAATAAGCGGGATGGTTTCATGTGCTGTCCATGTGCCCTATGTAAGAATTTAAAGGAATATTCAAGCTCAATGAGTCTTCATTCACATTTGCTTAAGTCAGGTTTCATATCAAACTATATATGTTGGACTAAGCATGGAGAAAGTGGGGTCATGATGGTAGAAGGTGAAGGAGAAGATTTAGACATTGATGACATTATTGCTCAGTATGGTGCCATTGATGATACTACAATAGGGGGAGATGAAGAAGAGGTAGCGGTAGAAGATGATCTCGGTGATGCTCTTGGCAATGCCATTCGTGATGCACAACAAGAATGGGAAAGTGAAAAAGAGAAAGTTAAGTTCGAGCGCATGCTTGAGGATCATAGGAAGTTGCTATACCCGACGGCCGAAGAGGGGCAAAAAAAGCTGGGTACAACACTGGAATTGCTACAGTGAAAGGCAAAGAATGATGTATCCGACAAGGCATTTGGGAATTTATTGAACCTCATAAAGAAGATGCTTCCGAAGCCAAATGAATTTCCCACCACTACGTACGAAGCAAAAAAGGTTGTCTGCCCTTTGGGATTAAAAATCCAGAAGATACATGCATGTCCTAATGACTACATCCTCTACCATGGCAATGAATATGAGAATTTGGATGAATGCCCGGTATGTAAAGCATCGCGGTATAAGATCAGGCGCAATGATCCTGGTGACGTCGAGGGTGAACAACGTCCTAGAAAGAAAATCCCTACCAAGGTTATGTGGTATGCTCCTATAATACCACGCTTAAAATATTTGTTCAGAAATAAAGACCATGCAAAGTTGTTGCGGTGGTATAAAGAAGACCGTAAGGTAGACAATATGCTGAGACACCCAGCTGATGGGTCCCAGTGGAGAGCGATAGACAGGGAATTTCCAGAGTTTGCAAATGAGGCTAGAAACTTAAGGTTCGCCTTAAGTACAGATGGTATGAATCCTTTTGGAGAGCAGAGCACTAGTCATAGCACTTGGCCAGTTACTCTATGTATCTACAACCTTCCTCCATGGTTATGCATGAAGCGGAAGTTCATTATGATGCCGATCCTCATCCAAGATCCGAGGCAACCTGGCAACGATATTGATGTCTATCTGAAGCCATTAGTTGAAGAACTTCTAGTTTTATGGAACAAACCAGGTGTACGTGTCTGGGATGAGTACAAACAAGAACACTTTGACCTACGAGCAATGTTGTTCGTAACAATCAATGATTGGCCTGCTTTAAGTATTCTTTCAGGTCAGACAAACAAAAGATATAATGCATGCACACATTGTTTTGATGACCTTGACAGTATATATTTGAAAAGATGTCGAAAGGTCGTGTACCTTGGCCATCGTTGATTCCTTCCTTTGAATCACCAAGTAAGAAAGAAAGAGAAGCATTTTAAAAGGTAAGCCAGACCACCAGAAGAAGCCTCATAACCGAACCGGGGAAGATGTACTCGCAATGGTTAATGATGTGAAAGTAGTATTTGGAAAGGGACAAGGCAGTGAATCTGTTCCCAAAGATGCTAAGGGACACGCACCCATGTGGAAGAAGAAGTCCATCTTTTGGGAGCTACCCTATTGGCAAGTCCTAGAGGTCCGCAACGCAATCGACGTGATGCACCTGACAAAGAATCTTTGTGTGAACCTGTTAGGATTCATGGGTGTGTACGGGAAGCCAAAGGATTCACTTGAAGCACGACAGGACTTGCAGGGCATGAAAGAACGAGACAACCTTCATCCAGAGAAGACAGATGATGGATGTCATTACTTAAGTCCTGCTAGTTACACGCTTAGCAAAGAAGAGATGGACAACATGTTCGAATGTCTAAGCAGCATCAAGGTCCTATCGGGATTCTCCTCCAATATAAAGGGTATAATAAATGTGCCAGATAAGAAATTCCTAAACTTAAAGTCCCACGACTGCCACATGCTTATGACGCAAATGCTTCCAGTTGCTTTAAGAGGAATTCTACCTCCGCATGTACGTCTA